AAGATCTTCAATTATCAAGAAACACCACTGTGCGGTGAACAGAAATGATGTGTGGAAACAAACAGTTGTTCAAAGATGTTTCGAATCGTGTTGCTTTCTTCCTCGAACTGGATGAATCTATAGACATCAGAGACACAGCCCAGTTACTAGTTTTTATGGTTTTTGAAGATTTCAGCATAAGAGAAGAACTACTTGGTTTGATTTCTTTACAAGGAAGAACTACAGGTCAGGAAATATTTTATTCCTTTGTCACAAATTCTAATGTTCCATTACATAAAATTGTTTCCATTACTACTGATGGGGCAAAATCAATGACAGGTCAGGTTAATGGTTTTATTGCCCTCTGTAGACAGATTGATGACTTCCCTGATTTCCTTTCTTACCACTGCATCATTCACCAGCAGATTTTGGCAAGCAAGAGACTCAATACAAAGACTGTTCTAGACATAGACTTTAAAATTGTAAATTCAGTTTGTGGAAAATCACTTCAAAGATGGCTTTTCAATCTAACTCCTGAGGAAGGGACACCGGATATCATTTTGCACACAGATGTAAGGTGGCTGAGTAGGTACAAATTTTTGCAGAGATTTTGTAGTTTGCTGAGTGAAATAAACAGTTTTTTGAAGGAGAGAGGAGATGAGAAAGCAGAGTTAGAATACGAGAAGTGATAATTTGATCTGGCATTTCTCCCTGATTTTACAGGTAACCTAAGTGATATGAACCTTGAACTACAAGGTAAAAACAAATGCATTGCTGATGAGTACAGTTTCATCCTACAGAAGCAAATTCGAGCTTATGATGACTGTCCTTACAAACAATACTTTTGATCACTTTCCTAATATACAGGACCATCTTGAAAAATATCCTAATTTTGTTTTTCAGACAGAGAAGTACGTGACAAAAATCTGTTCTGTTAGCCAATATTCCTGAAATAGATCCTGTGATTTCCAAAAAATTAGAACAGCTGTAAAGGACTTGTCATTCCTGTTAAAAATCAGAATTAAACATTAAAAAACTGCAGCTACTATCTGTGAAAATTACCCACTGAGCAAGGCATCTCTTGAAAATGAAACATTAATCCTTCAAATGACATTTCTCGCAAGACTCGTGCTGTACATGAATCGTTTTGGAAGTTAGTGCCTAGACACAAATTTCCCAACATAAGAAAATGCAGTGAAATTGTACACTCCTGTTTTGGTTCAACTTATTTGTGTGAATCTGCGTTTTCTTACCTAAAAGTGATAAAGAGCAAACAATGTTCCAACATGACACATGACCATCTCCAGGATTGCCTGAAACTGGCTCTCACCCAATACTCACCTGACTTCCAACAGCTGGTGGACCAAATGCAGGCCCAGACATCTCACTAACGAACAAGTTTAGTCTGTACTTACAATGTATGTTGCTTTTACAACAAACATCATGTGTTGTGTTACTTTTACCAATATTTTTGCTTAAAGCGAGGTGCGACGACAGGAGGGGGTGCTAGATCACTGGCAGTATTGACACTAAAACGTCAACCACAACCTGTTTGAAGCTGGACATGTCTGATCTAAACAATTTAAGACGTGAAACCATAAGCCATTTCAGGAACAAAAAGAGGGAATATCTCAAAGACAAAATTTATGAGCTTGCAATGAACAGTAAGAACAAGAACATTAGAGACCTGTATAGAGGAATAAATGATTTTAAGAGGGGTTACCATCCTAGCAGCAACTTAGTGAAGGATTAGAATGGTGATCTGCTTGCAGATTCTCACAACATACTGAAAAGGTGGAGGAACTACTTCTCTGTTATTGAATGTACATAGGGTCAGTGATGTTAGGCATACAGAAAACCATACAGCTGAGCCATTAGTATATGATCCTAGTCCTTTTGAGTGTGAAAGTGCTACTGCAAAACCGAAATGGTATGAATCGCCAGTCAGTGATCAAATTCCGCCAGAACTTATTCAAGCAGGAGGTGAAACATTATGTTCTAAGATCCATAAGCTAATTACTTCTATTTGGCATAAAGAAAAATTGCCCGATTAGTGGAAGGAGCCTCTTATTGTACCAGTGAATAAGAAGGGTGATAAAACTGACTCTAGTGTTTATGGGGGGATATCAGTGCTATAAATTTCATACAAAATTTTATCCAATATTCCTCTCTAAAGGGAAGTCCATATACAGATGAAATTATTGCGGATCATAAGTGTGGGTTTGGACGTAACAGATAAACTACAGATCAGATCTTTTGCATTTGTCATATACTGGAGAAAAAGTGGGAGTATAATGAGAAAGTACATCAGTGATTCATAGACTTCAAGAAAGCATATGATTCAGTTTGTAGGGAAGTATTGTATAAAATTCTGATAGAGTTTTGGATACCCATGGAACTGGTTAGGCTGATTAAAATGTGTTTAAACGAAACACATAGCAAAGTCCGTATCGGGAAACAATTGTCTGATAAATTTCCTCTCCAGAATTGTCTAAAACAGAGAGATGCTTTAGTGCCACTCCTTTTCACTTTGCTTTAGAATATGCCATTAGGAAGGTCCAGGAAAACCAGGTGGGACTGAAATTAAAAGGGACACTTCAGCTGTTGGTCTACACTGATGATGTGAATCTACTGGGTGATAATATAGACACCGTAAAGTAAAACACAGAAACTTTAATTGGTGCAAGTAAGGAGGTTGACCTAGAAGTAAACACAGAGAAAACTATGTATATGTTGCTGTCTCATCACCAAAATGCTAGGCAAAATCACGACATAAAGATAGGAAACAGATATTTTGAAAATGTGGCACAGTTCTGATATTTGGGAAGGATGATAACAAATCAAAACCTGATTGAGGAGGAAATTAAGAGGAGAATGAACTCGGATAATGGTTGCTACCATTCAGTCCAGAACCCTTTGCCTTCTCGTCTGCTGTCCAAAAACATAAAAATTAGAATATACAAAACTATAATTTTGCTTGTGGTTCTGAATGGGTGTGAAATTTGGTCTCCGACATTAACCCTCCAGCACGGACATTTAAATATCGCTGTTGTGGGGCCTCCTGCGGTAGTATTGTTTAATTGCCCATTTAAATTTTGCTCTAAATTATACTATGTATCATAACTTTTGAACTACTTAAAGATATAATTATGAATTTTTTACTGAAATCATCTTAAAAGATGGTTTTATAATGTTACCTTATAATATGAGCGCCCTGTATGTGTGCGATGGAAGCAAGTGGATTAGAATTTGAATTTCGTATTGTTTTTCTTGAAACATCCATCTAAACACAACCCTGCCTCACATTCATTATACCAATATATAGATTCTTTCTTTTTACCATGTTTTACACACACCACACATCTTTATTAAGGCTTTGCCTTTCTCCTTTCGCTGGAATACGCTCCAGGAAATGTCGTTCTGCAAGTCTTTTACACGGTGGCTGAACTGACAGACGGCCCGTATACACGACGAAGAACACCAGAACTGTGTTTTTCCACGACGCCTTGTGCTAGTGAAAGTCTGAACTTTAGTGTGTCCATGTTTTTGTTATTCGGGAGACACCTAGATATGACCGTTGCGTTATGTATTGCTACACTGAGTAGCTTCTTGAATAACTTCGATACCACTTAGTACTCTTCTTTCATTCGAGCAAGTACGCCGTAGCATTTGATGCTTCAGATCGACTCCTAGCACGTTTTTTGTTGTAATAACAAACAACCATGGCTTTGAAGAAAGCAGTCTTCTGGGATTTGGCACCGTGTACTCGTTTATGTGGTGTTAACCGACGTTTCGGAGGAACGTATCGCCTCCATCTTCAGGGTAGAAGGAAAAATTGTTCAATTGAACTGCATCTGGAAAATATGAACAGATAGNACAACCCCCCCTCAGCTTACGGGTTAGTGCCCACCCTTTAACCTTGCCTTTCTCTCCCCCAACACAAAAACCATGCTTGACCCAGTTCCCCCCCCACTACTGTTTTCACTTGTTTAATTGCCCTCCCCCTTCCTTCTCTGCTCACACATAGCTGTGTATATTTCCAACACCAATCTGCTTTTACTGGTTCTCACAGTCCGTTCGCTTGCGGACTTCTTATATTTTTCCTTCTACCCTGAAGATGGAGGCGATACGTTCCTCCGAAACGTCGGTTACCACCACATATACACGGTGCCAAATCCCAGAAGACTGCTTTCTTCATAGTCACCGCCGTGAAAGCCTCAAATCTTACATAACCACGGCTTTGTTTCTTGTTTGTTTGCTTTATTCACAACCACATGCATATCATTTTTGTGGTATGTTGATATCATAGTCACTAGGCCATCATACTGTGAGGACACGCGCGTTCTATTTAGATTGACTGGCAGAGCAGCAGGAAATTGAATGTTATGTTTACACACACAGAGTGTGTATTCTTTTCACAAGAGGACAGTGCAAACGTTGTCATGCTGGCATGATTCGTTCCATATTTATGGGCCTTTGAAATTAGGCTTACAGCTTGGCGTACCGTGTACGGCAAACCGCAGGTAGGACCATTTAAATACCAGCGTACCGTGTACGGCAAACTGCACTGAAGGGTTACGGGAGGAGCAGAGACTGTGTATGCGCTTTTAAAATTCCTTCTATTTGTAGCCATTACGAATATACAGCAATTTCTTATCACCCAAATCATTTATTTTAAATAAAAAGTTCTCCATGTGCTTGCTTAATTAAGCGGTAATGCTATAAAACATATGGGGGAGTGGAGGTATAGCTCCACCATTGTTGGCCTTGGCACTAGATAGAGGTGAGTGGTCAGCTCCACGCACTGGCCGCTTTGCCTCCTGGGGAAACAGTCCCCAGTACACATTGGATATGAGGCACTGGTGGGCCCCTGAGGCAGTCAGAACATTTTGAAGTAGAGAAAAACCTGCTGCCCCTGCCTGGCATCAAACCCTGGCCAGTCAGCCATTAGCCTGTCACTACAAAAACTGAGCTATCCCAGCTCCTTATCATATGTAATTGCATTGAATGTTGCTGTTTACCACAAGGTGTCTTTATTCCCATCCTTGGGATCCAGTGTCGCCAACTTCTTGCACCATTCATTACTAAAGATGATGAAGGTATTCAGTGGATGGAGGATCTTTCCTCCTGCACCTGAAAACAGCACAGCAGTCCATTAGTGACAGCAGTCACCAAATTTTTTCACTCTGAGGCTCCCTTTTCATTATAAAAGCAATAAGATCATGACTGCAAACAGTACTAATTCTGCCTCTACTTCAATCTGCCAATAACAGTCTCTCTATTGCCTTCATTTTAACAATGAATGCTTAAGACTTTTTTGTAGCCTGTATTGAGGGGGTTTGGGTAGCTTGAATGCTCAAGTACTGCATTCGGGTGCTCAAGACACCCACCATTCTGAACAAGTCTCTTGTGGTTTTCTGTAGTCCCTCCAGGCAAGTGCCAGGAGACCCATAATTACCACATTTCAGCTTCATTCCAAATCATTCAAAATTCACTTATCGAATATTTTGACTATCCCAAATTCGTCATAGTGTTTGTGAACTTCATCCTGCTGTCGGAGTGGGTCATAATGTCAGTTAGCTTCTTTGAGAAACTTCTACCCTTGGAGACACCACTGTTAGAAGCATGTCTGCAGGCATTCTCATATTACTTTCTTAACTGTAGTCTTCTTAGGCCAATTAATCTTTTCTGCCGGCTACAATCTACAAGGTGTGGCAATAAAGAAACCGGATTCATGCTCTAACCCTTTATTAAAAAAAAATCAGACAGTCGAAATGTTATCCCCTTCAATGTAGTCCCCTCCCCGATCCCTACACCGCTCCATGCGAATTTTCCACTGTTGGAAGCAGTGCTGCAGGTCATCTTGTGTTATGCTCTTCAAGAGTTGCGTCGCTTTTGCTTTCACTGCATCCACGGACTCGAACCTGGTCCCTTTCAGCGCAGACTTGATTTTTGGGAAGAGAAAAAAGTCGCACGGTGCTAGGTCCGGAGAATACGGTGGATGTTCCATCACTGGAATGTTGTTTTTTGCCAA